GGGCATTTATAGGTACAGTGATCGGTTGCCAGGGGTAACAGATTTACATAACAACAGGTAGTTCCTCTTAGGTTAAAAGTTTTTCAAAAGGCTTCTTCAAATCCCATAACTAACTCTATCTACGTGAACAAATGGTTACAAAATCTTTCAAAGACTAACTTCTAAGTTCTAAGGTAAATTTATCACTTAACAGAAGGGTTAAACAGAGATATAGTGGCTCCATATTTTCTTTATCAAGTTGTTGTGTATGGAGACAGGTAGTTAGGAGTTTAAGCAGGAACTGTCCCTTGGGCTAATTGCTTTTAGCCACAGGTGTCTGTCTGTCGGGCGGGCATTCTTTGATCAGCTCTCATCCTGTGGCTCCTGGCAGACCTGCTTTGCTTTTCAAAGCAAGTCAGAACCACAGATGCTGAGGATCGCGGTGCCATCTTGGGATGCAGCTGCCACTGATCTTTCAGAGATGCCCTCCTGAGGTGAAACAGCTTTCGATATGCAAACTAACACGTTCACATATTCCTTCAGGGCAAAGCTCTGCAAAACTCCTGAGACGTTTCTGTCTCCCATATAGTTATATTAATTTATGGAGCAACAGTATGCCGGCAAGTTAGATAACCTAGATGAACTGGACAAATTCCTAGGAAGACACAAACTACCGAAACTGACTCAAGAAGAAACAGAAAATTTGAACAGACCTATAACAATTAAAGAGATTGAAATAGTAATCAAAACTATCCACAAAGAAAAGCCCAGGTCACATGGCTTTACTAAACCAAATGTTTAAAGAAGATTAACACCAGTCCTTCACAAACTTCCAAAAAATAGAAGATGAGGGAGAATTTCCATACTCATTTTATGAGGCCATTCTTATCCTGATACCAAAACCAGACAAAGACATCACAAAAAAAGAAAGCTACAGACCAATATCCTTTATAAATATAGGTGCAAAATTTCTCAGTAAAATATTATTAAACTGAATAAATCATATAAAAAGGACACATGACAAAGTGGGATTTATCCCAAGAATGCAAGTTTGGTTTAACATATGAAAATCATATGAAAAATCAATGTAATGCACCATATTAGTAGAATAAAGGATGAAATCCTATGATCATTTCAATAAATACACAAAAAACACTTGACAAAATCCAACCATTTTTCATGATGAAAACAAGAAACAAACTAGGAATAGAAGAATCCTTACTCAAACTTATAAAGGTCATATATAAAAAACCCACAGCTAACTTTATACTTAATGGTAAAAGACTGAATGCTTTCTGCTTAAGAAAGACTTAAGATCAGGGACAAGACAAAGATGTCTGCTTTTACTACTTCTGTTAAACATTTTACTGGAGGTTCTAACCAGGGCAATTAGGCAAGACAAGAAATAAAAGGTATCCAGCCTGGAAAGGAAGAAGTGAAACTATCTCTTTGCAGATGATGAAGAAATCCTAAGGAGGGGAAACTACTAGAATTAATAAACAAATTCAGCAAGGTTGCAGGATATAAGACAAATACACAAAAATCAATTGTATTTCTATATACTTGCACTGAACAATCTGTAAATAAAAGTAAGAAAACAATTCCATGTGTGACAGTATCAAAAAAAAGACAGAAAAAATTAATAAAATAAGTGCAAGACTTATACTCCGAAAACTATAAAACAATGTTGAAATAATTTAAAGAAGACCTAAATAAATGGAAAGGCATCCCATGGTCATGGATTGGAAGATTTAATATTGTAAAGGCAAACAATCACTTCCCAAGTTTAAATATTCAGCATAATCCTTGTCAAAATTATAAGAAGTTGGCTTCTTTTAAGATATTAATAGCATTATCCTAAAATTCAGATGGGAATTCAAGGGACCCAGAATAGCAAAAACAATCTTGAAAAAGAACAAATTTGGAGGACTTACATCTCCTGATTTCAAAACTTTCTACAGAGCTACATCAATTAAAACAGTGTATTACTGGTATAAGGATAGACATATAGATCAATGGAATACAATTGAGAGTCTAGAAATAAACCCTTACATTTATGGTCAATTGACTTTTTACAATATTGCCATACAATTCAATGTGAAAATAATAGTCTTTTCAACAAATGGTGCTGGGACACCATGCTAAATAGCCACATGTGAAAGAATGAAGTTGGATACTACATACCAAAATTAACTAAAAATGGATCATAGACTTAAATGTGAGAGCTAAAAGTGTAAAATTGTTAGAAGAAAACATGGAATAAATCTTTATGACCTTGGATTAAGCAATAATATCTTAGATATGACAAAAGCATAAGCAAGAAATGAAAAATAGGCCATGCATTGTGGCTCTTGCCTGTCATCCTAGCACATTAGGAGGCCAAGGCAGGAGGACAACGTATCTGGGCAACATATCTCTACAGAAATTAAAAAAAAAAATAGCTGGGTGTGGTAGTGCACACCCATAGTCCCAGCTGCTTGAGAGGCTGAGGAAGGATTGCTTTGAGCTATGCTTTTGAGGTTGCTGTGAGCTATGATGACACCATTGCACTTCTAGCCTGGGCAACAGAGCAAGACCCTGCCTCAAAAAAAAAAAAAAAAAAAGATAAATTAGACTTCACCAAAATGAACAACGTTTGTGCTTCAAAGGATACCATCAAGAAAGAAATAACAGCTCACAGAATGGGAGAAAATATTTCCAAATCATATGTCTGATAAGGGACTTATATCTAGAATATATAAAGAACTCTTATAACTCAATAATAGAAAGACAAATAATTTGATTTAAAGATGGTCAAAGGATTTGAATAGAATTTTATCCAATGAAGATATACAATTGCCAACAAGCACATGAAGAGATTGTCAACATCATTAGTCATTCTGGAAATATAAATCAAAATCACATTGACATACTATTTCATATCCACTGGACTGACTAACATAAAAAATGAAAGTGACAGACAAGAAATATTGGCTAGGATATGGAAAAATTGGAACCTTCATACATTGCTAGTGGGGTTGTAAAATTGTGCATTCAATTTTTAAAAGTTTGGCAGTTCCTAAAAATGCTAAACATAGGATTACCATATGACCCATTAATTTCATTCTCAGGTGTATACCTAAGAGAAGTGAAACATGTTTCTCGATGTAATGAGATGCAGGAAAAAATAACTTTAAAAAAAAGGAACATAAATTCATACAAAAACTTGTACACAAATGTTCTTAGCAGCATTATTCATAATAGACAAAAAGTTGAAACACCCCAGATGTTCATTAACTGATAAATGGATAAACAAAATATGGTATATCCATGCAATGGAATAATGTTTAGCCATGAAAAGGAATGACGTCCTGACACACGCTACAACATGGATAAACCCTGAAAACATGCTAAGTGAAAGAAGCCAGGCACAAAACGCCATGTTTTATGATTTCCTTGACACGCAATGTCCAGAAGAGGCGAATCCGCAGCGGGAGAGGCTACGGTAGCGGCTGCGGGGATTGGCAGTGAGTGAGGACGCTGGCTGCGGGGTCGTTGGTTTTGGCTGAGGTGATGAAAATGTTCTAAAATTAGATCGTGATGATCATCGCACGACTCTGTGAATATACTAGAAGTCACTGAATTGTACATGTTAAAATGGTGAATTTTATGGCATAATAATTATTATTTATGTTATAAAAATTCGGTTCACCTGCATCTTTTTACTTTTAAAACTGTGGCTACTAGAAAATTTTAAATTACTCTCTATGTGGCTTCCATAATATTTTGGACAGTGTCGTTCTAGACCTTGTAAAGACGACGTGGGGTTTTAAGCACCAATATCCCTCCCTGTCTGAGACACACAACCCCATCGCGGCACAAGTAACACGAAGCCCCCTCTGGAAGAACGCTGCGCGGCGCTCGCTGCGGCAGCTGCGAGGCTTTCGTGCGCGTCGCGTCGCGCGGCCTCGCCCTCTGCAGGGAAAGGGCGGCAAGTTTGTTATTCCCTGCGCAGAGGGAGACGCTGGCGTTCAGGACCGGGAAGGGACTCCCCTGCGGCCACGAACCAGGCGCCGGACCCCGGTGGCCGGGTCCTCTTACCGCAGTGCCCGCGCCTGCGCGCAGCCTCTCCCCGCGCGGCCCGCGTGTCGTCCGGAGCGGCCGCGTCCTCGCGGGTCCGCGGGGCCTCGGCGCTGCTCGAAATGGCGGCAGAGGAGGCGTGCTGAGGCTGCCGCCCCGTTCCGCGGGTCCCAGCTGTCGCCACCAAGTGGCAGGGCGACGTTTAGCGGCTCCACTGTCCTCGGCCGGGCCCGAGACTCTGACGCCGCTGGTCGGGGCTGGGCCCGGGCGCCGGGGCTTCCAGAAGCTCCCGGACGATTCCAACGCGCAGCCAGGCTCCGGGCCCGCCGTCCGCGGCCGGCGTCCGCACAGGCAGCGCGCGGGCTTCTGTCGGAGGGACGTGTGTTTGCGTTTGAGTTAGTGGGCAGCGTTTAGAAGCATGGGATTTTCACACAGAAACCTGAATTTCTGGCTTCTCTTGAGGACCGAGAAGCCCTGGCGGCCGTGCCTGTGCTCCCGCGCGGCGACCGCGGCCGCCCCCGCCCCAGGCCAGGCCAGGCGCCCGCTCCGCCTGTTTCCCTGCGAGCCTAGCCCTGCGGGCCGCCGAGCCACGCCCGTCCTTCGCGGGCTGGGAAACTGAGGCCGACAGCCAGGTAGGCGGGGGCGGCAGGCCGGGCTGACGGACCTCTCTCCCTCTCTCAGCCGGAGAACATACTGTGCGTCAGTCGGACGGGACACCAGATCAAGATCATCGACTTCGGGCTGGCCAGAAGGTAAGGGGCTGTGTTTGGCTTCTTCGACAAAACTCTCTGGGGACGCTGTGGCTGTCTCGGGTGTGGTTACTCGCGGACCAGCCAGTTCTCGAGTTGGGGACTGACGTAAGGACGCCGTTGCTCTGGGAGGCTGGCGGCCTTCGACTTGCAGAGGGGCCGCGTCGCTGCTGCTGCGGGGGCTTTGTGCCGCGGGCTCTGCTTCTCCCTGGCAGTGCGCTGTGGGGCTGACTACCTGGGACCGCTCTCTGAGCAGAGAGGGGAGTGGCGCTTACAGGGGCAGCTTCATGGGGGGCCGGGCGGCCCAGTTCTGTTGATCCCCCAGGCCTCCTGGCGCCCGCATGCGCTGGGTTGTGCGATGCGTCCATCTCCATCCGTGCCCTCCAGGCAATGACTAGGTTAAATACAAAAGCATGGATGTGACAGTGGTACCCTGGGTCGGTGGCTCTGGAGCCACTCAGGACTGGATTGGATCTTGGTAAAATGGTGATATAATGATATTACCTGCTAGCACGGGGGGCAGTTATGATGGTTAAATGAGATAATACATAGACAGCGTGAACCATCCTATCAGGGTGGCTAGTTCTCAAGTTTCAGTGCCTAGATAAACATTGTATATAACTTTTTTTTTCTTTTTAGACAGAGTCTCACTCTGTTGTCCGGGCTAGAGTGCAGGGGCAGCATCATAGTTCACACAACCTCAAATTCCTGGGCTCAGGTGATCCTCCTGCCTCAGCCTCCCGAGTAGCTGGGACTACAGGCACACGCCGCCATGCCCAGCTAATTTGTGTGTTTTGTAGAGACAGGGTCTCGCTCCTGCTCAGGCTGGTCCTGAACTCCTGGCCTCAAACGATCCTCCCGCCTCAGCCTCCCAAAGTACTAGGATTACAGGTGTGAGCCACCGTGCCTGACCATGTACATAATTTTTAAAATATCTTAAAGTCCCCTAAAATGGTAAAAGCCTAGTGGAGTATAGATAGTTTTACTGTACAATCCTGTGCAGTCGTGTATGCTGAATACTGTGCCTCTCTGCAGGGCTCTTGCCCATGGCACGCACGCCTGGTGGTGTGGGCTCTTAGCAGTGGTAGTAGCAGACCCTTGTTGGCATTTGGGAAAGCTGCCCCCAAACCTTCCAGCACCCACAGTCCGTAAGTTCGGCAGTAGTTGTGTGCCTGTCCTCCAGCCTTCCTCCAGAACTCCATTTCCTCCAAGAATGACATTTCCCTGGAAATTACATATTTTCTGGGTAGGACTTTACACCAGAACTGAATTTTCAACTCTTCCCGAAATTTTTTCTCTCTCTTGATGGCTGTTTCCCACCAAGAATTTGTGTTGTTACTTTACGAGCCACACGATGCCCTCCACTCCATCCACAAGTGGCAGAAAGCAGAGCCCCGTCCCCGTGGTGGCAGCGCTGCTCGCCTGAGCTCAGCTCTGGTTTCCAGCACCTGCCTCCCAGGGAGCACCCAGACCACAGCGGTGGTCTTCCCGGGCCACTCCTCCCGTGGTTAAAGTGGTGAACCTGCAGGGGCGAAGGCAGATTTTCAGGGCCCCGCAGGCTGTTAGTACAATAGCAGGAGGAAGTTCGTGTCATGCCACGGTACCTTGGGGATCTCCATTACTCAGTGTATTTATTTCATGAACAATATAAAATCCCTGTAATGTAAACACTTAAAAATCACATTGAATCCAGTGTAAAAAAATTGCTTAATATTTTCCCAAATAATGTCTTACAAGATTGGAATGCGTTCTACATACTTGCATGTCTCACACCCTAGAGCAGTGTTTCTCGGCCTGTTTTTATTGTTGCTGCCTGCCCCTCCGTGGGCCTTTGTAGACTTTCTTTCCCTACTACCTGGTCCCCCAACCCATCAGATTTAATGCCACAGATGTGCTGTGTATCTGTTTGTGTACTGTGGGCCTTTGGAGAGCCACAACCCATTGCAATCGCTAAGATTTTTTGGCCTCCCAAGAACCAATTTTTGCCCCCTGCTGGGCAATATCGTCTTCACTGAGAACGCACACTGGTGTGCACGACACACTCTCAGATGCCTGCTGACCCATTGCCACAGGAGCATTTATAGGGACAGCGCTATGAACTAAAGCAAGAAGCCACCACCAGCAGCTGCTGGAGTCAGGGAAGCCTGCTCTGAGCGGCCGGAGGACGCACAGACAGAACTCGGTGTCTGCAGGCGGTGGTGTGCCAGCAGATGCTCGCAGGCCAGCTGGGGCGGGTGGGGTTGATTTAGGATATTTGCCAATTTTGCTAATTTCAAGATACTAAGATGATGTCACTGAACACAGAGCTGGGAGGAGATGTACACAGTGGACTCTGGCGTACCCGCAGGGCCGGCCCCGGCGCAGCACTGCCTGGAAGGGAGGTGGGTTACGGGGCTGAGTAGGACGTGCAGTGTGTGTGAACAGGCTAGTCGGGGGCAGACACGGTAGAAGACGCGGGCACTAACGGGGAGTCCTGGATGCTAGGCTCACACTCGGATGAGCTTGAGCACTATCTTGTAGGCCATTGAGTCCTACCTGGTGGGGAGGTGAAAGGGGCTATAGGGCAATTTTCTACAAATTAGCTATTCAAAGCCTTCCTGCTGAGTGGCCAATCCAGCCTGAGCTGTCAGACTTATTCCTTTACCTAGTCAAAGGCATTCATGACAATTTTTCTGGTGGGAGCAGCAGCAGGGGGCAAGTTCAAGAAAACAAACATAGGGAGTCGTATTTAAGGGAAGGCCATGGCGGGGTGCAGTGGCACGCACCTGTGATCCCAGCACTCTGGGAGGCAGAGGCAGGAGGATCGCTTGAGCCCAGCAGTTTGAGACCAACCAGGACTACATAGTGAGACCTGTCTCTACAAAAAAATTTTTAAAAATATTAGCTGGGTGTGGTGGTGCACACCTGAGTCCCAGCTACTCAGGAGGCTGAGGCAGGAGGATTCCTTGAGCCCAGCAGTTTGAGACTGCAAGGAGCTATGATTGAGCCACTGCACTCCAACGTGGGTGACAGAATGAGACCCTGTGTCAAAAAAAAAGAAGAGAAGGCCACTCACATAAAACCGCTGGGCACTGGTGACATGCAAGTGCCTGAAACACGCAGCTCAGGAAACTGCACTCGCCGGGGCTAGCCTGACAGGGACGCAGGTTCCTCGATCATCTGGGACACGGGTCATCCAGCCAACAATTGTTAGGCAAATCAGCTTTTGCCAAATTGGTTTTTCCCAAACTGGCCTGCTTCCTGGGCAGTGTGCCTTTCCAAGAGGAAGGATCTGTGGGGAACGTGCAGGTTGAGAAAGCATATCTGTATTGCAGAATAGCTAAAATTCGTAAAGAGGGAGGAAATGCCAGTTATTCCCTCTGATACAAACTATAGAAAATAAGGTTGTGTTTCTGGGTGGTGCTCAGCTTTTCAGTGGAGGCATGGCCCTGGTATAGTGGGCGGCGCATACAAACCTTCAGAGGCGATGACACCCAGCAAGAGGGACCAGGGTTATTCCAGGCGGGGAGTGAGAGCCATCTGGATCTAAGTGTCAACATGTCAAGGGTTAAGGCTGGGGACAGAATGGAAATTATCTTGCTTAAGCTAAGTCTCCAGCATGTTGGGAGTCTCCTGACTCCCAGTCCAGTGCTCAGATTGAAATTAGAGCACAAAAGATCCCGTTTTATCAGATCCTTTGGCAGGGCAAGGGGATGCCTACCCCAAGCCCTCTGAGGCTGTGACCTGCAATGTCACCCTATGGTCACAGATGGACTTGTGTTAGGAATCTGAAGAAGAGGGTATTGATGATATTTTGACAGCTTTGGCGTGAATGTATCAGTTAGCTATTGCCATAATACTGCTGTAGAACAAACCGTCCCCAAACCCAGAGGCTTAAAACAGCAATAATTTATTCTCATCCACACATTTGTGAGTCAGCTGGGGTAGTGGTATGCTGACTCAACTCAACTAGTACTTGTTATATTAGCTCATGATAAGGCATTTTGTGATTCAGTTGTTAAACACAGCCATTATTAAAATTAAATTATATAAACTTGCAATTAAGGAAATTATATTAAAACCAAAGATACTAAATATTCAAAGCTCATAACTTCCTAATTCTTTTACTACTTTTTGCTACGTTCTATGCTCAAGAGGTTGTTTGTGCCTGTTGTGTCTGTATGGTAGAAATACTCTAGAGCTGTGTGCTACTGTGCGGCTCTTCCCAAGTCTTCATTCAGTGACATCATGATGGTACCTTGAAATTGGCCATGGTAAAATTGGTGTCTACGCCATACCACAGAAATTGCAAATGCTACAAATCAGGGATTTTTAAAAAATCCAGATAGCTGATTAATTGACCCCCACACCCCTGGCTGGGAATCACTGATGCAGGCTGAGCTCAGCCGGGCTTGGATCCAGGGTGCAGGTCAGTGCGGACAGGTCTGCTCCATGTGCCTCTCAGTCTCTTCTGAGGAGAAGAGGACGAGGTCTCATGGTCCAGCTTGGAACCGGCCGACTGTCACTTCCACCCACCTTCGCTTGGCTGAAGCAACTCGGGCGGCCAAGCCCAGCATTAGTGGGTAGCGGAAGGAACTACAAAGTCGCGTGACACAGGATTTGGATGCAGGGCACAGGGGGGCACTGGCAACAATAATGCAGCTGGGAAAGTGGCCTCCGGGGTTGAGAGAATGGGCCTTCTCTCCGAGAGAGGGAAGGCTGTTCCTCCGCCCGGGCGAGGCGCAGGTGCAGGGGAGGGGCGGGCTGCCAGAGGACAGCTTGCACTCTCGTCCAGCTCCCTGGCTGCCCACCGGCCACCTTGCTGCTCCGTCACTGGATGAGGGTGGGCCATGTTGGCTCTGGGTCTGTGTCTGCCTGGCTTTCAGCAAATTGGGAAGAGAGGAGACTGCTCCTTGAAAACTAGTTTAAAGGAAGCAGGATGTATTAGCAGAGCATTGTTTTTATTATTGTTATTCTCAATTGCCTCATCTATAAGATGGGGACAACAGTCTTACTCTTTCATAGGGCTATCGTGAGGGTGAAAAGATACAATAATGTATGTGAAACTTTTAGCATAGTGCCTGGCTGATAGAAAGTGCCTGTTAAATTTTAGCTGGAGATTTTCTTCTGCTTCAGGAGAGATTCTAAAAAACACTGTTTAACACCCCGTTTCCCACTCAGCCATCAGCTGCTAGCCTGGCTTAAACTTCATGTCCACAACTTTTTCTAATTCTTTCTTTTGGGAATTGTGGTAAAAAATACATACCATAACATTTACCGCCTGGTGTCCAGCAGTGGATGAATGAGTAAAGAAACTGTGGCATAAATATGTCATCAAACACTATTCAGCCCTAAAAAAGAAGGAAATCCCGTCATTGGCAACGACATGGATGAACCTGGAGGATGTTGTTAAATGAAATAAGTCAGGCACAGAAAGACAAATCTCGTATGATCTCACGTATACGTAGAATCCGACACAAGCCATAGTGGTGGAGAGTTGGAAGGTGGTTACCAAGGGCAGATGGGTGGCTGTGGGCAGGTGTCAGCCAAAGCATACAAAATTTCTGTTAGACAGAAGGACTAAGTTCAAGGGATTCACTGTACTATGGTTAATAACAATGTATGGCATACTTGAAAATTGCTAAGGGAATAGATTTTAAGTGTTCTCACCACAAAAAAATAAGTGTGTGAGGTAATACACATGTTAATTAGCTTGATTTAGCCATTCCACAATGTATATCAAAACATCATGTATACCATAAGTAGATACAGTTTTCATTTGTCATTTAAAATAAAT